AAGCGTTGCCGTGGGCTGATGAGGCGACGGTAGTGCCACCGTGTGTTCGGGTGGCAGCACCACCGCTCGGGTGGCGACATCGTCAGCGCTTGCTGGGAAAACGTGCCGGCCGAAGAGGTTTTATTGGACACAGCCTTCTTCTTGGTTCTTTCGGTAAAGTCACGTAGAAGGGAAATAAAAAAATAATAAAATAAAACATAATAAAATAATTCTCACGACGTTCCCGGCCACAACGCAAGCAGCCGTCCTCAGGTGAAGAACAGGTCTGTCGGAAAGACAGCGTCTGAATTCAGACGATGTCTTCCCGACAGACCTGTTCTTCTGAAACGTCGTGAGAATTATTTTATTATGTTTTACTTTTTATGATTTAATTATTTCCCTTCTACGTGACTTTACCGAAAGAACCAAGAAGATGAATCCCTGCAGTCACGAAAGCTTTAAATGGACACAGCCTTCTTTGCCAGACACGCTGAGAATAAGCCTGTGGCCTTAACAGACTGTTGGGACAAGTGCTGTTAGCTAGCGTCTGTGAAGGCCGGCACGGCGCATGATGCGGTGGGTGGCCAGCACCACGCCCACAACCGCCGTTGGCCACGAAAGTGGCGGTGACGTCACCACGGTGCCTGTGCCAGGCCAGGTGCACTTTGAGGCCACGTGAAAGTCTCGAAGGCTCGCTGACAGGCCACGGGATAGACTCAGGTGCCATGGGTTGACTGACTCAGATGACTGACAGATGCACCAACTGTGCCCCATACTGTTCCATCTTGCTGTATTTTATCCGTCCGGCGGCTCCGCTCGTTGTGAGCGTCGCTCCTCTGCCTCTGTTGTTGCTGGAGGGCGACTGCCTCCAACTGCCCAGTAGCGTCCTTCACGAGCCTCCTCCATAGAGGCCGATCTTGACACCGCTGGTACCAGTCATCGGCAGTCCACTCAGCTCCCACATCCTTTTGTGCCACATCAGTCCATCTCTTTTCCAGCCCGTGCTGCACCCGTTTAGCCCCCTCGATCCGGCCAAACAGAAGCTGCTTGGGCATGCGATGCGGTGGCTGGACATGCGAGCTACGTGACCCACTCAGACGCGCTCACTCACGCTCACAAATATCCCACGTATCGCCTTCACAGACTGCTGGGGTAAGTGCTGTTACGAACCGCCTACAAAGGCATGGAACTGCACACAAGGGGGTGATTGGTCAGCACCACGCTCGGGCACCTTTGTCTCCACAGTAGCGATGTTTGCACACCGCACCAGGTACTCATTTGAGGCTGAGTCGACATAGGGGAGGCCCGAACCGGTACAGATAATCGTCACTGGTGTTGGCCGTGAGCGGGAATCGAACTCGGGCCCCCGGGTTCGTAGCGCAACGCGCTAACCGCTACACACTCACACCCACACACGCACCCACCCACACACGCGCACAGCCAGACTCACCCACGCACCCCACCCACACTAACCCACCACCTCACCCACGCACCCACCACAACACCACCCACACAACCCACCCACTCACCCACCCACCCACACACGCACGCACGCACGCACGCACGCACCCACCCACCCACACACGCGAACCCACACTCACCAACGACACCCCACCCACTCATCCACACTCACTCACCCACCCAGACTCACCCACCCACCCACAACAGCCCGTACCCACACTCACCACCACCCACCCACCACCTGTACCCACACTCACCCACGCACGCCACCCACCCACACTCACCCACCACTCACTCACCCACCCACCCACACCCACACGCACCCACCCACCACACCCCACACCCACCCACCCACGCACACTCACCCACGCACCCCCACCCCCCACCCACACTCACCCACCCACCACACACCCACACCCACCCACCCACGCACACTCACGCCACGCACCCCCACCCACCCCCCACACCCACACTCACCCACCACCACACACCCACACCCACCCACCCACGCACCCCACCCACCCACCCACACCCACACTCACCCACCCACCACACAGCCCACACCCACCCACGCACACTCACGCACGCACCCCCCCACCCCACAACCACACTCACCCACCCACCACACACCCACACCCACCCACCCACGCACACCCCACAACCCACCCCACCCACGCACACACCCACACTCACCCACACCCACACTCACCCACCCACCACACACACCACACCCACCCACGCACACTCACCCACCCACACTCCCACCACCACACACACCCACACCCACCCACGCACACTCAACCCACCCCGCACCCCCACCCACCCCCACACCCACACTCACCCCCCACCACACACCCACACCCACCCACCCACGCACACTCACTCCCCGCACCCCCCCCCACCCACCCACACTCACCCACCCACCACACACCCACACCCACCCACCCACGCACACACCCACACCCACACTAACCCACCCACCACCCCCACCCACCCACACCCACACTCACCCACCCCCACACACCCACACCCACCCACGCACACACCCACCCTCACCCACCCACCCACGCACACACTCAGGAGCGACGTTCAAAGCCTCAGCTGGGGGGCAGTGAAATTGAAAGCGAGGCGCGAGGCCCCCCGCGCTAATGACCATTGTCCCCCCCCCCCGCTGCCCCCCAACCCGCTGCCCCGCACAGCTCCCTGCCCCGGGCCGCGCTGCCCCCAGTGCGCAGCTTAGCCGCGCTGCCCCGCTGAGCCCAGAGCGACCCCCCCCCGTCCCCCTGCCCTCCCTCTATCCCCCTGCCCCCTCCCCTCTATCCCCCTTGCCCCTCCCTCTATCCCCCTGCCCCTCCCCTCTATCCCCCTGCCCCATCCTTCCCCTCCCCTCCAACTCTTCCATCAATGCCCCTCCTCACCTCTCTATCCCCGCCACCTCCCTCTATCCCCGCCCATGCAACCCCCCGCCCTCCCCTCCATCCCCCGCGCCCCTCCCCTACATCCCCCGCCCCTCCACCCCCCGCCCCTCCCCTCTATCCCCGCCCATCCAACCCCAAACTCTCCCCTCCCCCTCCTCACTTCTATCAATCCCACCCCCGCCCTCGCCCCCCCAAGTCTTCCCCTCCGCCCCCCTCCTCACTTAACCCCCCCCATTCCCCGCCCCTCCCCCCGGACGCTGGTGCGAGATTCAGGGTGCACGTGGGCGACTCATCGTCGGCGTCGCGTTAATTGATGTCGCGTTAATTGATGTCGCGTTAATTGCTCATTAGCGGCCCGCGTGTCCCTTCATTATCGACCTGTCGCACGTGACGCGAGCGCGCGCCCGTGACGGGAACTTGCGGGCCGCGCGCACGCGTGTGTGTGTGTGTCTGTGTGTGTGTTTATGTGTGATGTGTACTGTGTCTGTGTGGCGTGTCTGTGTGTGTGTGTATAGTGTGTGTGTGTCTGTGTGTGTGTACGTGTGTGTGTGTCTGTGTGTGTGTGTACGTGTGTGTGTCTTGTGTGTGTGTACGTGTGTGTGTGTACGTGTGTGTGTGTACGTGTGTATGTTGTACGGTGCGTGTGTGTCTGTGTGTGTGTGTTTGTGTGTGTCCTGTGGTGTGTGTACGTGTGTGTGCCGTGTGGGTGTCTGTGTGTGTGTGTTTGTGTGTGTGTACATGTGTGTCTGTGTGTGTGTACGTGTGTGTGTACGTGCGCGTGTGTGTACGTGTGTGTACATGTTGTCGTTGTTTTATACAAGGGGTGTGTGTACATGCGTTTGTGCACGTGTGTGTACGCGTGTGCATGTGTACGTGTGTGTATATATATACAGCCCCATGATGGGCAGCAGTGGCCCCATCCCATGTGCCCCCCCCCCCCCCCCACATGGGCGAGCCACTCAAGGTCGACTTGAAGAGTTTTCAAATTACGATCGGGGGTGGGGGGGGCGCGGGGGTGTGTGTGTGTGGGGGGGGCGACTCAGCCCATCATCCTCAGAGGGTCGCTAAAATCATCTACTGATCTGTGACCGATCAATAGCGGTTGTCCTTTAAGAGAGACCACCTCCCGCCCCGCCCCCCCCGGCCAGAGTAACGTGGAATTCACCCTCAATCGATGCTGGTGTCACCACGTAGGACGCTTGACTTTTGGGGATTGCGGGAATGGAATCCGTGGGCTCTCAGCACCGCACCCGGCGCCTCCCACGCCCCCCCCTTCACGCACCCCCCTCCACGCCACCCCCCTCCCACGCACCCCCCCTCCACCCCCCCGACGCCCCCCCCTCCACGCACCCCCCACGGCCCCCGAATCAATATCCCTCGAGTTGTTTACGCGCCGCGTCATTTGCACATTCATGAAGTGGACCGCGTTTTCTCCGCTGTCGTGTTTCTCTCTCTCCGACCACCTCCTCCGCCACCTCCTCCCTCCACCTCCTCATCCTCGCTTGTGTTTGTGTTGAGGCTTCACCACCCCCCCCCCCATTCTCCAGTCCGCGGCGCGCACGGCTTCGCGACCCCCCTCGTGATGCTGCTGCTGCTGCTGCTGCTGCTACTGCGTTCCCACGGGCACCGAATCTATCCGCTCGCCTCGCGTCCCGTAACCGGGCAAATGGACCGAGTCCTCGTTTCTCCCTTCCCCATTGGCAACCTGCAGGCTGGAGGAGGAGGGTGAGCCAGACCCGCGTGGCTCGCTTGTGCCGGACGACTCACTCGGGGAGTTTCTCACTCTCAGCCGCACGTGCATCATGGATCAGCTTGTGCAGTGCGTCCTGGATGATGTTGATGTTGTTGTTGTCCCTGCACGTGCTGGTGTGAGGCTGTCGTGTGGCTCTGTGGCGACGTGGGGCTTGACGTGCCACTCACACTATATATATATAAAACATTGACGTACATATGCATTCATTTAATTAATACAATGATTGTGTGTGCCTGCTGCTCTGTGTAAAAGCATTCGGTACGTAAAATAAATTGCGCGAAACGTCGCCTATTTCTAGATGTACAATTATTATTTTTTATATAAGGCGACAGTGTTATATTGTTTTGAGGTTGTGTGTTTGTGCGCGTGTTAATTGTGCTTGTGCACCGCTGTCAATACAGCAGCAGCAGCAGCAGCACCAAATGATTTGTTTACACTTCCAGCTGGGGCCGCTTGAAGCGTAATCATAATAACAATAGCCATGACGTCAAGGAGGCACGGGTGTCTGTCTGCGTGTCCCTTGAACTTCTCTCGCACCGGAGAAACTCTCGCTCTGATTGGCGTTCGTATCTCGCATGTGACAACTTCAGGGGCCGACTTCCATACTCGATTAGAATTTTAAAAAAAGTTTGGCTGGCTGGCCTGCTCTGGCCCGGACGGACGAACGGTCAATCACCCTCCAAATCACGTGCGCTTTGCTTGTTTATAATGAACACAGGTTCACAGAAATACCCGTTAAACCTCTTTCACGGTCGCTTTCCCTGGCGGGCGCCTTAGTAGCAGTCTGGCCGCAAAAGCCGAGTCGGGCCTGGGTCGTTTAGAGCAGCAGTCCCCAACCCCCGACCACTACCGGTCCGTGGCCTGTTAGGAACCGGGCCCACAGGTGATAGCGGTGAGTCCGAGCGTGGCCCGCCCCCATGTCTTATTATTCACCACTTCCGTCCGCGCTTCTTGCCCGCACTGCCGCGCTTGTCTCAGTCACAGTGTTGGTAAACCCACAAGCTCTAACCCCTAGTAGCCACAATGAGGTAAAAAAACAAACGTCGCTGGAGAGCTTCTTTGAAAAGGGGAAAGACCCAATGATGAACACCCTCCCCCCCTCCACCGGTCCGTGAAAAAAAATCGTCTTTCCACGAAACCGGTCTCTGGTGCCAAAAAGGTTGGGGGGCCGCTGGTTTCGAGTGAACCCGGAAGCGGCCGGCACTGCTCGGCTTGGAAACGCCAGTGGAAAACGCAGCATCGGTGCGAGCCACCCACAACGCGCCCGAACCCCGTCCGCTCTCACAAACTAAGCAGGGGCACGAGCCCGGTTCGGTTTTGTGGGTGGCAAGGCTCCGATTAGCACGGTCGGCTACGTGCGGCGCGAAAGAAGTCCAACATCCGCACATTCGTGAGCAGGCGATGTTAGCAGAGCAATGGATTCTTGAACAGAGTGTGCTCTCTAACTCGGGGTGTGATCGCATCTCACGCGCGTTGGGGTTTTTTCCCGGTGCTCCTGTTCCCCCATTCCGCTCACAAAAGGAATCGGCCAAGCATCCCAGAGCTGGACCACTGCTGAAGCCAAGTTGAGAGACGCTTTTGCCGGATTAATAAAATGGCCTGATTCCCGTTCGTCTACGTCTTGCGTAACCCACTGGGTGTTCTTTGCGAGTATTGCTAATATGTATTGCAATGTATTGCTATGTATTGTTATGTACTTGCTATGTATTGCATGTATTACAATGTATTACTATGTCTTGCTATGTATTGCTATGTATTGCTGTGTATTGCTATGCATTGCAATGTATTGCTATGTATTGCAATTAATTGCTATTTATTGCCATGTATTGCTATGTATTGCTATGTATTGCAATGTATTGCTATGTATTGCTATGTAGTGCTTATGTTATTGCTATGTATTGCTATGTATTGACAATGTATTGCTATGTATTGCAATGGTATGCTATGTATTGCTATTGATTGCAATGTATTGCTATGTATTGCAATGTATTGCTAGGTATGGCTATGTATTGCAATGTATTGTTATGTATTGCTATGTATGCTATGTATTGCAATTATTGCAATGTATTGGCTATGCATTGCAATGTATTGCTATGTATTGCAATGTATTGCTATGTCTTGCTATGTATTGCTATGTATTGCTGTGTATTGCAATGTAATTGCTATGTATTGCTATGTATTGACTATGTATTGCTATGTATTGCTATGTATTGGTATGAATTGAAATGTATTGCAATGTATGCTATGTATTGCAATGAATTGCTATTTATTGCAATGTATTGCTATGTATTGCTATGTATTGCTGTGTATTGCAATGTATTGCTATGTATTGCTATGTATTGCAATGTATTGGTATGTATTGCAATGTATTGCAATGTATTGGTATGTATTGCAATGTATTGCAATGTATTGCAATGTATTGCAAAGTATTGCTATATATTGCTATGTATTGCTATGTATTGCTATGTATTGCTATGTATTACAATGCATGCAATATATTGCTATGTATTTCAATGTATTGCAAAGTATTGCTATGTATTGCTATGTATTACAATCTATTGCAATCTATTGCAATGTCTACGTACCTATGGCGGGATCAACGTCGCGACCCGCGTGATCTCTCCACCGTGGGCGATCGCGAATGAAACCTCTTCGCATCCTCGCCAACACCTCTGACGAAACCCAAAAACATTCGCCACCAGCTGGGCACGAATCTCCCCACCCCGGTTCGGCCCGTCGTGGGAGGTGGGTGAGGCGGCTGCCACCACGGCCCTGGCTTCCACTCGGGTCTCGCAGCTCACCTCGCCACGAGCTGGAGTCTGAAAGCCGCGCGGCAGACGCATCACTCGGCGATGTTCTTTGCCGCATCGGCATTGGTGGACGAGTACAGGGCAGTTAACAACGACACACTCAGCGGCTTCGTTAACGGCAATGTGCGTGACCGTATAAGAGCACCGCGGTGGCTATGAGATGTTGACTACCTCGCCTGGTGTACAGGAGGTCGTGGGTTCGATCCCGACCCTGACGCCTGCTGCTGTATATTTGGAGTTTGCGTGTCTCTCTCTCCCC